CTCCTATGTGTCAATATCTGGTAAATCAGTCTTACTATTGTGAGAATGGTCTCAGCCTCCCCACTTCAGGACACCTTTCTTAATCACTGAAGTATGGAAATCTTAACTGAATCATTTCCTAGAAGCTCTGGCCTCTCTGTTACGAAGGATGCAAGGCTTGGTGTCCCATTTTTATTACTTTCCTTTTCAGATGTTCAGATGGGGCCACTTCATTTTAGCTTAGGGAGGCACTAAAGTCAGGGGGGAAGATGAGGAAGTATGGTAAGGAAAATGAATTTGAATACCAGTGAGATGAAGGAGTTGGAAGAGTTAGTCAAAAAGCATAAACAGAAAGCCACTACCAGGGTATAGACTAGTAGAAGGAAGGGTACAAAGCTTTCTGGATTCCACACATCTACAGAACAAATGCTAAGGTCGAGAGTCTTTCCTGGCACCCTGGAAGTGTCAGGACTTTTGGAGGTGTCTCCATTCATTCTTGATGGGGTTGAAATTAAGCCAGTTATAACCTTGGACTAAATACTATTTTATTTCCATAAGAATGGACAAAAATAAACTTGTGATGTACAACAAGTGAAAATACTTAGCATGAGTTGCACACAGCAGCTGGTTGGCTTTCTGTTCTTTGAAGGAGCTGCCTCTATGATTTCTGTGTAGCTGCATGGACATACCCAGAGCACCAGTGGCAAGAGCCCAGCATTTTCTGCAGGTCTGACACAAGAGAACTGAGCCTACTATCTACCTCAAAATAAATAAAACGAATTATATGCACAGTGTTCACTGCATAGGGTAGAAAGCAAAAAAGGCCAGTCACAAATGTGAGCAATCACTTTTCAGCTGGTTGACAAAGCTAGCCACGAAAATAAGCTAAAGACAAATCCCATATCGGCTCCATTAAAGTTTTGTACAAAACTTAGTTTTGAGGCCATTTGAGGGTCAGATAACCTTAGATCACAGCCAAAGCAGCATGTAAAGCAAATGACCCTTTACGGTGATGGCAGTCCACACATTAGTATTGTACATTCAAAAGCTAATTGACTTAGGATGGAGACACTTAATATGTGACATTGATCCTTTTTTTTTTTCCGTTAAATTTTTATTTTGTCAATATACACTGTATATGATTATTATGGCACATCACCGACACCACCCTCCCTCATTTGCATGCAATTGTTTACTTGCCAAACAATACTAATAACAAATTGCACCCAAATGCAAAGCTATCTGTACTAGCAGATTTTTATCCTAAGGTAAAAATAAACAAAAACATCTGTAATAAAATCACATATAAAGCTACATTTATTAACAAATTAATTTCCTAATAAAACACCATCTGCAAGCAGCCCTCAATTTCCACTTTACATAAATAGGCCTTGTCCTGTTTTCAGATACATTTCCCAGAAAATTCTTCTAAACCCAATTGCAGAACACACCAGCCATTTTTGGGGGGGTTTTGGTTGCTTGAAATGTTAAAAAATCTGTAACATGAAGTTTTGAAACCAACAAATTATTTGTTTAAATGACATGCCTCAATTGAAAAGCTGACCTTTTACAATAAAGTTCATTACACTTCTAGTATTCTTATTATTGATACAGAAATTCTAAGAAGCCTGGAAATGTTTCAAGGATAAGAAATAAAAATTTCCCCACTGTTCAGACAAGTATAAACACATAAACAATCATGGACGCACACACATGCACATTGCATTTCAGTAATAGTTTGTGATTCTCAGATCACAAATGTAATCTTATCTGCTTATTTGTATATCTTAGAATGCTGTTTTTTTTCTGGTCATTTAACCCTTCCCATTCCCCCTCCCCCCAAATGCAAGTCACTAACACGTCAGCCTCCTTTTAGGGTAAGAGGTGAGTATACTCAAAGAAATACTGTGATTGCTCTATGGGTAAGCCTTTTTTGGTAACAACTCAAAATAATGCTACCACTCATAGAAGATGGCTACACTGACTAGGGACCTGCAACCCAGTGCCTGAAACTCTAGGCGCCAGGAACTGGGGCTGAATTCTAATGTTAAGTGCTTTTGAAAAGTGCATCAAGATTTAATAGGGTGAATTTTCAGACTTGGTCAGAGTTTCAGCCACATAAATTCCATTAGGTTCAAAGCTCCATAATGCTCCACCCTGTCTATATTTATGCCCACATTTTAATCTACACTTTTCTAAGCTCTCTTGTTGGGCTACCTAACCTCTAATTTCTTTTCCTCCTATTTTTTGTTTTCACATTACCCTTAAATTCTGTATATTCCCCTGACTTCAGGGCTCTAAGCTTCTCTCTACCCCTCTTTCAAATCCTTCCTTAAGAACTGTATTTAAAAATAATTACTTTCTTCAGTGATCTCTCATCATGACTTTATTGCACCTGACCCATTTTTCATGCAAAGCTCTGCCAAAGTCTATTTGTACCATCACCAAAGGCTGCATGCACATGGCCTGTTCCTTCGATACTCATCTCCAGAGCTGATGACAGCTCAGACTCTCTTTGAAAACACACCTCTTATTGGGTATGCCAGAACACTGACTGAAAGCACAGAGTCATTTCAGAATCTGGGTCAGCCATTTTGTGAATGTATGAGAGAGAGTATTACAACAGAGCAGATCTCATTGGGTCTGTGACTTGTCACTCTGCTAATGAGGTATGGAAATGGACTGATGGAACGCTTTATGGGGCACTGCTATTTCCAGACCAGTCCCAAGTGATGACACTGCTGTATAAGGAGGGAACAAGAGCAGATACCAGTGAAAGCGAAGGGACAAGAATGACATCCCAACCTCCTATTATAGTCCTCCTCTTTCAAAGCAGATCTCTTTTTAATTTTTAAGTATTAAAACCCTATATTAAGCCATCCAGGAGAAATTAGTATCAGGACTTTTCAATAACTGTATAGGAGTAGAGCAGAGTAAGACACAGGCAGACAGAGAACAGTTAAAGATACATAACAAAGGATGAATTTTCTAGCAATTGTTTACCTTTGTTCATGTTATTTGATTAACATAATGGCTTAGAAAATGTAATCAAGCAACAATTTTTGAAACTCCTTCATTCAACAAACATTTATTGAATATCTACTATGTACCAGGCTTTTGCTTGGCACTTGGGATACAAAGAAGAATGAGGCATTCCTTGCCCTCAAGGAGCTCACAGTCTAGTAGAGGAGACAAACACAAAACTGAATAACTATACAGTCAAGATGTATAAAAGGTGCCAGAGAAGCCCAGAGAAAGTGGGTTATAATTATGTTGGAGGATCGGGTTAGCTTTCACAGAGAAGGTGACAACTGAGCAGACCAGAAGGAGAAACAGGACTTGATCAAGAAGACAAAAGAGGATGGGGAAAGACATTCTAGGCTAAGAGGACAGGAGGGAATAAAGCAAGGAAGCATGATAAAGCATGACATGATGGAGAACCATGGCAGTTCCATATGGCTGGGATTTGCTTGTGAAGAAGTGGTGAAATATGAGGCCAGAAAAAGAGTATGAAACCAGAGAGAGTGGAGCCTGGTATGTGGGACTAAGAGATCTGCACATTTGCCTGGAAGTGATGAGAAGGCATTGAAGAATCAAAAGCAGAGAGTGACATGGTCAGATCTGCCTGTTAGATCAGCCTGTATGGAGGATGGTTTAAAAGAGAGATGAGACGAGAGGCAGGGAGACCAGCTAGGAGGGCCTGTCATAGCTGTCCAGGTGTGAGATGCTTGTGTGAGTTTCAAAGGCTGTGAGAGTAGAGAAGAGGTGACAGATTGGAGAGATATTTAGGAGGAAGCTTGACAAGACTTAATGAATGATGATACAAAAAGCCTCAGAAATGAAACAATATTTAAAAACACACATCCAGAAAATACAGCCAATAGCTCCAGGCCTCCCTTCTTTTGTATTCCCATGGTCGTCTGAAATTACTGCATCTGCTGAGGATGAACAAAGGAAGAAGAGCCAGAGGGCACATGCAGGTAGACTTCTCTAATTCAGACACCACTAACTTGGAATCTGCAACAATTCACACAGACTGCCTGTCAGTCCTATTGAGTGAGGATGTCAACCTACTTTCTTCTTTGTGTTTTTTTTTTCAAGCCTTTAGTCACCAGTAACAGGAATCCAATCTAAAAGCAGTGGCTTCTTCCAGTCAAGCACTTGAGGTGCAGTACGCAGTCACTTACATGGTGGTGCCTGCAGGGCAGCCCCATACATGTCCCCCACCCAGGGGCCACAGTCTGGAATCCAATCATTAGCGATTCATTTCTTTGTGAGAGGTTTTGGTCCCTCTCAACTTCTCTTTTACAAGGCAATGATTCCTGAGATAGGTAGAATATTTAGTCATTCTAAACCCAGTGAGATTTTGGTTGATCAAAATGCGTTTTGCTTTGACAGAATGGATGGAAGTATTATAAGAGGGCTATGTAGGTACCTGTAGAAGAAGGTGATGCAGAAGGGAAGACTGAGGGATATGGAAGATAACATTAAGATCTTGCCAAGGAATGGCCCTGCGAGCACTCAAGAAACTAAGATTCTTAAAAAATGCCTTCCACTTCAGGTTCCAGCAAATGTCACTTGTATATTCTTGTAACTTAAGGAAATTCCTTGATTTATGTTTAGGACATGCTATTGGCTAGTGAAGGCCTATGGTGACTCAGAATATTTTCATAAACCTCACTACTTATAACCAATTAAAACCCTAAATGTTTTTAATTTTTATATAACATTACCACAAAAGCATTGAAACTATTCTATAACTCCAACTTTTCATTCACTCAGACCGACCTTGTCTTTTGTCATTCCAAATAATGAAGCTTCTACTGCATTTGCAAAGTCTTAATCAGTCATGTCACAAGTGACAGAAGATCAAGTATCAGACTCTGACCTTGAAGAGTCTCATGTACGGCTCAGTAAGGTAAATAGGAGCTGCTTGTGAATACTTGATTATAGAGGTTAGAGCAGTGAATTTTTTTTAAAAAAAAAGAAAGAAAGAAAACAAAACTTTAAAAATTACTTACTTCACTTGTTTGGAGAATCGTGAACTTTGGCAGTTTAGTCTTTGAATTGGCTGCACTGGGTTTTCCATCCAGGAGTGATCCAAATGACAGATTCCCAAAGCTGTTCTCAAACTCGATTGAAGGCTTCAGCGTTGGAGAGATGTCTGGTGCCTGATCTTGGCCATCCATGGGTCTTACATATGCTGTTGGCTTTTGCTGCCCCATGCTTGTTTTGCAGTAAATCCCTGGTGGGAAGTTTTGAACAGAAAGGCCACTGCTGGGAGCTAACAAGGAGGAAGCAACTAAGGGAGAACCAGGAGCTTGCACTGTAAATTCAGATTCTTCCGGTGAGTTGGATTGAAATATTTCTTTAAAAGCATCTTCTCCACTTGGCTTAGGGTTGCTGTCTTCCTTTGCAGATAGGTTAGACTCTTCGACTGCTCCAATTTGGGGCTGTTCAGCGGGGTAGACAAAGAAGTCTTCAAGTCTGGCTTGAGGCTGGTCCTGTGTGGAAGTCTGCATCTTGTTTGGCTGACTACTGGCCTGGCTTGCTGGTAGAGTGCTTGTGTTATGACAGTCTCGTGGCCACTCAGGTTTTGGTTTTCTGTTGCTGTGTATTAGAGTTGAATTCAGTATCACGACAGAAGGTGGAGGCATTGGTGTCGAGAGGTGGGTATTATCCTGGTGCGGAGGGATCATTCGGTTCTTTTGTTCTGGAAAAAAGGTTGGTTCATTTTTGTTGATGGGAGTCTGGGGCACAGAATTCTTTGGGATTCCCACTAGATGATTCTGATTAGAATGATTAGTTAGCAAATCCTTCATTTCATCATAGTTTCCAAGCGTGTTCTGGACTCGGTTGGCAAGTGCATCACCTTTGTTTGTCTAAAATAACAAAAAGATGGGGGTGGGAGGAGAGAGAATGAATAGGTTTGTGTTTCCTAATGTTAATGTTTTAAACAGATGTTCTAAGTTGACTAGCATATAGGGTTCTTTCAAATTGTCATGCTGCCATATAATTTCATACTTTTCATGTGCTATGTAAGAAAAAAAATCAATAACTTTATTGAAAGAGACTCTTGGAATGAGCAAGTATGATTAACATTTGTCTACTCCTTCACCTGTCCTCAAACATGCTCATTGGGAGAAAATTTTAAATTGCCTCATTTACTAATTTTATTAGAAAAATAAATAATATATTTTTACATCAGATGAGCTGAATTGTTACATTCTACATTGTGATTAACAACTTTTGTGTACTGATCACTGGAATTATAAAGGGTGTTCAACTTATATATGTTTTTGATACATCAGCCTTTGCACTACATTATACTAGGGAAAAGGCTTAGCCCATTGGATAAGGAAGTCAGTTAAATTGTGCTATCATGACTATACTGTTTAGAAAATGCACGGGATTAAACAACAGCTAATTGAGCTAACTTACGACTAAAGTGAATCTAATTCCTTTTAAACAAACAAACTGTATAAATTAATGGTGTCTGCCTACATATTCTGGGGGTGAGTGTGTTTATATATTGATGATTCATACTCGTTTACTTCGAAATGGTGCAATTGTTCATCAACAGTGACTCAACCTCTCCTGTGTGTTTTCAGTGATTTAGATAAATTTATTCAAGAATTTAAACTGCTGCTTAAGAAGTAAATCAAAACAAAGTAGTCTTTTCACAGTGATGTTAGCCTAATGTGTAGGAGTTACAGAGGCAACCAAATAATTCTATGGACAGCCAACATACGAGCTACACCATCCCCTTGTAGGATATACTAATCCCATTAAAATGGCTGTGACCGCTTTTAATATAATTAAGCTTCTGCATGGGTTTTTGCAGTATAGAAAGAAAAGCTTTCATGACTAAAAAATGGTGGGTAGCTGTATACTTGGAAATGACTTTGATGAAAGCTTGGCTGTTCATCCTCAAAACTGACTTTTATTATTTTCTTTACATGCCAAGGAGATTATCAAAACAAGCTGCTGAATTCAGAAGGGCAAATGACTTCTTTGTGCCTAGAAGTTTCTTCCTGCACTATCCTGCACTTTCTGCATGATCCTGGCCCAAGATATTGAAATGAAAAAAGGCCACCAGTATCCACGGAGCCATCTGGCAAGTGGGCCACTGGATGATGAAGACACCACTCTAGGTGGCCTTCAGGTCCCAGGCACCATAGGCAAGCTCTCCGTGTACAGGAGGAGGTGACCACCTCCCCGTTGGTACACTCTCTACTGAAGATAGATGATTAACATCTAAGGTTTCTCACGTGCCCTTAACACAGCCCAGTCTCCTGGTGCACACAGGGAGTATACCTGTCCAAGTCTGGCATCTCATTCTAAACCTAGTTAGGTTGTATGCTTGTGTGCTGTTCTCTGTATGTGAAGATGGGAGAATATGTGGATGGATAGAAGGTGAAGTGCCGGAAATGGATGAAATCACCCAGGGAAAGAAAATGTAGAATGAGAAGATTGGGCTTTGGAGAGAACCCTGTAAAACATCAACCTTTAAGAGATGGACAGAAGAAGAGGAACCAGCAAAAGATACCAAGAAGGAATAATCAATCAGAGAAAGAATCAAACCAGAAACCTTGGCCTTATTATTAGCACAATCTCCACATACTGTGTAAAGTATTTAACTCATACCATGTGGGAAATCATGTAAGACACTTCCAAAGAAATGAGGCAGTTAGAGGAATATGAATTTCAAAGATTAAGGAAAAGTATGCTTAATATAACTAAGGGAGCTCTGTGGGGGGTTGGAGAACTTTAGAAATCAAATAAATATGTGTCAATTTCGGTTCGCTTATGCTCCAGAACATCCTATATTGCATCATATGCAATCTTGGTGCTGAAGTAGTGATTAAACAATTAACATTCCATATAATCCTCAGCTGAATAATTGCTGCATTTTCAGAAGTACACTTGAAAGACATATTTAAAAGACATAAAGGCGTAGAAATCACATTTATTCCGTAAAAGTCCCTAGGTTTGTCATTTTTAATGGCAAAAATTACTTTTTAGCAAAGGCAAGAATAAACTCTTTGTATACAGTAATCTCCTTCAACCAAGTGGCACAATGAACCATTTGGGCAGCAGCCAAAACCAGTCTCTCTATTCAATTCTTAAATCTAAAACAAAGGAATTTCATTGTGCTGAGGATCCAGAAGGAATTTGATGCAAGCTTTAAACATTTGCAGGGTTCCTCTGGCCCCTCAAACAGATTATCTCTTGGGTCATATGATTGTCTAATGAACACCAGTACCTGGCTCTATTCAAGGATCTGACCCAACAAGGGGAAACAACACCATTTCACTTCCCATTTGAAATGCCTTAATTTTACTACCTGGCTTTCATTCACACAGAGTTCTACAGAATCAGAACCTTGGTCCTAGCTGTCGCAGAGACCACCAAAACACCTCAATGCCCTAAGGAGTTATTCCACTTTCTCTAGGCCAAAATCATCAGGACCCAAGAATCTCAAGGCTCATTTGCTTACAAGCAAGCTAGTCACGTTCCTGTCCTTGTTTGAGCAGTAAAGAGAATAGACATATTCCTCTTGTCCTCAGTGGGTAGAAACTTGTCTAGTTTTTAATGTCTCTTCTTTTACATTTATTGTTATAATGGTCTGGGTTCCTGATGCATGTTTAGATTTTTTTCCGTGTATAGACTTTAAAATATGTTTGAAATTAGGAGAACTTCTAAACTGGCTAATGTCTAAAACCGTATCTACATGAATAAAATAAGAGGAAAATTGAAATTTCTCTCAAGTCAAGAAAATCAACTTCCTACTACATAGTGTATATTAAAGTCATAATTTCTTTCCCTGAATAAAACTATGAGCTCTTGAAGTTCAGAGATCACCTTTTATTCATGCTTATATCTCTGAGACTTAGTACCACGTCTCGTGCATGTTAAATACTCAATAAACTGTTGCTGAATTGAACAGAACCAGATTGTAATTCATACTCTACCTATACCAAAATAAAGGATTTGCAATGTCTTGGAGTAAAAGGTACATAAATAGAAAGGCAAAAGTCAGGCCAACTTGGTTGCTATGACTGAATATTAAATTTAACTTTGAGCTTCCTGGTAGCTAAGACAAGAAGGAAAGGCTCATAGGTTATAGAATTCTCTTTGTCTGATGGAAGGAAGCATAACTCACTTTGTTAAATCAGACAAATGGTTGCCTGATACTAATAAGCTAAAAGGAATTCCTCTCATTGGTTCCTTCACAAAAACCTTTGAGCAATAAAACAAACATTTTTTTTCAGCACCAATTTTCCAGAAGATGCAAAGATGTTCTTCACATGGCTTTTTCTTTTGAGGACCAAAGGGCAAGAGCATTACATTAAAGTCTAAGTCAGTGCAAGACTGTCTGCACACAGAGTTAGGGGTCTAGACCAATACTGTCCAGGAGTACAGTTTTGTTGTGCACTAATAACATAGGGGTGAAGCTGTGATAACCTGGAGGACTGGAGGGATGTCATCTCCCTTAGACTAGCTTCCTCACAGAGCAAAGATCTCAGAAGGACTTGTGACAGGAACTGCATAGCAGGCAGCTCAAGGTAGAGTTCACTGGCGACACTTTTTGAGATGCTGATTGAAGGAAGATCCATATGCTTTGCATAACAGACATGCTGTGGCTACAAGTAGGAATTACCATGGTCATTCATAATACAAAAATTGGTAAACTCAAAACACTCATGAGGCAGGGTTTGGCACAGAGGACACACAGACACATAGCCTCAAGAAGTCCACCATTCAACAATATCAAATAATTAACAGTCCAGTCCAAGTCACCAGAGTAAACTCTCTGCCTTTCTGGAAGGTGGGAAACTGTCAACCAGTGTTTAAATTTCTCAAGATGTAGATATGAGATCCACTGGGTAGAAAATCCCATGGGGCTGAAATACGTTTACATACATCTACACAATGTACTCTCATACACCATAGCAACTTCTGATTCCCCCTCGAGAGTCTTAGTAATCCTATTAAGGAGTGAGGTATCCTTGGCAATCATGATCGAACATTATAAACATGGCAAAAATGAAATTTAGCCATTTCAATCAATTATAGCCTCTTTCAATTTGGCCAATTCTTTACTTCTCACATTAGATAATAAGTAGATTCCTTAAAGGTAACCTTTGCAGCCATTATTTTCGAAGTAATCACAATTTCTCTATTATCAAGGAAATGCATTTTCCAAGTATTTTCAGGCATAAATTACATGTCTGGTTTGTGGCTCATGACTAACAGCACTGCTTCATTTAAGCTTTTTGCCGCTCATTACTTCAGGAAATGCAAACTTCCCTCAGTTTGCTTCTAATACTATCTACAAATCACTAATATAATTTCATTGCAAGACTAATGTGCTAGAAGGCTATTGTACCATAGTATTTCTTTTTAATAAAAGTAGCAAAGTAATATAAGTTTTAAAGTTCATTTTTTCTTTTATTTTATCATGGCTACAGTATGTAATTTAAGAATTTTTTTCTAATTCTAATATTTATACAGTTAGTCTCTCTAAGCTCTAAGTTGCTATTTTTTTCTTTACTATAATTATAATAACGATGATACCTTGAATTTTTATAGAACTTTACAGATTTCAAAGCAAGGTATCCCAGGTTCTTTCATATAATCCTTATTCTAATAATAATAATAATAATAGTAACATTTTATAGCTCTTCACAGGTAAACAAGAATGATTCACTTCAGGAAGGAGGAAACTATGGATCAGAGAAATGAAGTTTCTTCGCCATAGTCACCCACAGCAAGTAAGCTCAGCAAATCTTTTGACTTCCTGTGAGAAGATAAACAACTTCCTGTTACAGATACAGAATCACACAGACCTGGATGCAAAATCTAGATTCACCATGTAGAAGGATATAAAGCTGCAGAGAAGGCACCTCACTTCTCTGAGTTAAATTTCCTCATGGGAAACATATCGAAAATGCATAATCCAGTTGTCATAAGGACCAAATGACCATGTACATGAAATCCTGGCATACTGCCTGGCACATGGTATGCACTTGGTACATGCCAGTTCCTTACCAATCTTTTCACAATAACCTAGACATGTTAAATGGCTTCCTATTTTTCAGTTACTCTTGAAGACACTCTTCTCAACAGCATGGCACAAACTCAGATTTGAAAATTATGAGCTACAAAAGCAGTCCCAGAGAGACATTCCCCACCAACAACCAAATCTGGGGATGGTCAACAATTTTTCTATTCTGGGAGTGGTAGAGGCAAAGCAAAGAAGGGAAAGAAATAAGCCAAGAACATAAGAGATCACCATTCTTCTTTCTGCCAAGAAAGGGCTGTAGGTCCTAGCGACCAGTGTTCACATTGGCTAGTTTACAAACCACTGACACTCTGGGACAAGTGATCAGGTCGTGTTTTGAGCTTTGGGATAGCAAGAAGTTTCCTGAAAGTCTTTATCTACCACCGAGAATTTTGATTTTTTAATTTGATAAGTATTCCCACTACAACCCTGGGAAAGAGTTGTGGTATCTCTTCATTTCTACCAATCCATTCTGAGCCAGCTGTAAGACTCCAATTGCCACTGGGATGCCCAGTTACTCCAAGGATGTCCACCCCATTCTCAGTCTGGGGAGACTTTGGAGATGCACATCAGTTCTAGTATCATAATATGGGGAAAAGGAGATGCATATTCCTCAGTGGTTTCCCAGGGAACCCTGAACACGGACACACCACAAGATGAACCAATCATCAAAGCAAGGGTGAAAGAAAATGAATTACTAAGTCACCAAATATTATTATTCCTTTCCTTCATAGTTTTGACACAAGAACAAAGGCTCTTCTCCATTAATAAGCACAAAGGGAACAAGCTACAAATCACGCAACAGGCCTGGCCCTGCATTAGAATAAATAAATGTTCCCATCTCTGTCTCTACCTGATGTACACTTGTAGTATCAAGACAGATGGCATTTGAAAACTTCTGACAGTATTGATAACAGGGTATTTTTTTTTCAACTGCCTACATCTAAAAACAAAAATGCATCTATATGACAGGTCTTGTTATTAAGAGATGGCATTTAAATTAAACAAACAAGACTATTCATTCACCATGACTTAAAATTATGAAAGGAGAATAAACCAAGAGTTCTTCACTTCATAGTAGTGTTGAGGACAGAGTGAACATTGAATTTTAAGAATAAAACCATGATAAAAGCTAATTTTTCTAACCGATTCAAATATTAGTTGTAAAACTCATCTGGTTGTTCCTCCATCACCTCGAGAAAGGACAACACACCTGTCATCCTTTGACCTCTCCTCCATTTCTGGAGAAAAAGGAAGCCATGACTTCTTACTCTACCCTCAATCTTCCTTCCACTCTCCTGCTGTTTTCTCATTCTATTGTTCCGTCTTCACTTTCCTCCCTATGGCTCATAATTCTTCACATGCCCTCCAACCCATATATTTTTAATCTCCTCTGGGAACTTGCATCACTCAGCATCACTTCTCTTTCCCCTATCTTCCACCTTCTCCTTCTACCTGATGTTAGTTTCTTTCTGTCTATCTCTAAAGGTGTACACATTTCTCTCACTTTAAAGAAAAAAAGCTTCCCTCCATGCAATTTCTTCCTTTACTTTGTAACTTACCTTCCTTCCTTTCTTCATCCACGCAAAACCTCTCTGCAAGATCAAGTCTACAGTGACTGCTTCTCTTTCTTTACTTATGCAATTCCCATTTACTCTCTAACCCCTGGCAATTTGGCTTCCCCCAATGACCACCACCACCATCAGCAAATAAAACAACTCTCCCTAAGGTCACTAATTACCCCCAACTGCCAAATCCAACAGCCAATTTATAGTTCTTACATTTCCTGACCTCTTTGAGGCATTTACCTAGAAAATCCTTCCTCCAAAAAAATCCTTTGTTCCTTTTCTACTGAATATTTCTTTCCTAGTTCTCTTTTTACTGCTCTGATCATTCCTTTTTTAGTTTCCTTTCCTGGCTTCAGCGTTCACCACCTTGTTTAATGTTCAATGCTGCTACTTCCCAGAATTCTCTTTTAGTCCCTCTTCTTACTCCATAATCCCCGTGATGGTATTCATTCTAACAGCTTCCACTGCCACCTAGATGACGATAACCGCTAAATCTCTCTCTTGGGATCCAGAATCATGTATCCAATGCCTGCTGGATATCTCTCCCTTGCTATCTCACTGGCACCTCAAAGCCACCGTGCTTGAAACTGAATTAATTATTTTTTCTCTACAATGACCAACCCCATTCTCCTCCCTTAAATTCTTTCTGCCATAAGCTCCCCTTAACAACTATAATAGCTTCTTTATTATCCTCTAGTTTCTTCTTCCTCCAATCCACTCTCCACATTGCCCAACATCATCTTTCTAAATTGTACATCTGTCCTGGTCATTCCCTAGCCTAAAAACTTGTAATGTCTTCAATTCATGTACAGAATTGCGTTCAAACTCCTTGGAATGAGGTGTAAAATCTTTGCTGATATTTCCTCTGCCTATTTCTCTAACCATGCAGTCATGCAATCATCACACTTTCAGGATGATCTCTGCCTTGAGACTAAGAATTTCTTGATGGCAAGGATTATGTTCTATTCACCTTTGTACACTAGACTAAGACTGTAACTAGCACATAGCGAACCTTCAATAACCATTTGTTAAACTAATCATATATTTACATATACACATTCAAAGGAAGTATACAAATTAAATCAGTTGAGATAGGAAATTGGTTTTTGTTTGCTTGGTTTGTGTGGGGTTTTTTTGATGGATTATACTATTACTAAAAGACTGAAAACCAGTAGTTTATGCTACCTAAATCCATTTTTCAGGCTTACCAAACTTGAAAGGTACCTGAGTGTCTCAGTGAAGAACTGCTTACTTGTTCTTAACAAGACAGCAAGACGCTGCTCCCACTAGCCACCAATCCAAACAGCTTACATCCTACCCCTAAATAATATTTGTCCTATGCTGTCCTCATTAAAAACTTTCTTTTTCCAGAAGTTGCTGCTCCTTAAATGGTGCTTTTCTAAAATCGCAACTTCTGGAAATTTTCTCTATTGTTGTTTTACTTTTACATCATTTTCGTTTCATTACAGTAAATTACACTGCTACTAAATTTCAATAAAAATCAACCAGCTGCCAGCAATTCAATAAGATTCTTCCATCATAATCTCTTCCCAGTCACCCCCAATCTCCATCTCAAATAGAAAGTTCAGAGGCAGTCATTGTAAAATCAATACTTGTACACATAGCAGTTTGATCATTATTGGAGCTACACACTAGCTAGAATACAACTAGAAAATCAACCTAGCTACACTAACTCCTCTGGTTGAGGCAATCTTCTAACCCATGATTACTAACCCCCAGGAAAAATGATTGGCTTTTTCCTTTATCCTAGAATAATGATTTTCAAAGAGCATTCAAACCACTGAACAGCTGCTAACAGCATCAAATGAAAAAAGGAAAGCAGAGGCCTTGCAATAGATGGCACTGATTGGGAAGAGAAATAGACATATCCATTGACCTTCTGATGAAGTCTTCAGGGGCTGCCTCTCTGATAATCAAAGCAGTGGAAAGTGTCAAGGGGGCATTCCTTGCTGTAGGAAGTGTTGGGCAGTAAGGTGCTCCTTGGAGACAGGAAATCTCACAAGTCTCTTTCAAATCTTACTGTGCTCCCGAAGATGAAATTTATCTCTGAAGACTTCCTCAGAAACTTGCAATTCCCTCCAAATACTACACAAGCGTGCGTGCACACACACACACACACACGTGCGCTCGCGCACACACACACACACACACATGAGTGTACAAGTATATATAACTTGTAAAATATATTCTCCTGGAAATGATTTGGGTGCTTTAAAAATAAATGTTGATTAGTGAGTTCAAAATGTAACAAGCAACCATTTTCCAGAAAGATAAATTACATACATATTCAGCTACCTTGTAGGGCTCCCCAAAAAGATCAAAGCCTGAAGAAAAGAGATCATCTTCTTGTTGGACTTCTTGATTCCTCCGCTCCCATTCCCTTTTTTTAAGTGCACTACGGTCTTGTTCATAGTGACTAATATAAAAAGAAAAAGACAAAAGGGGAAAAGGATTAATTAGCCATGTAAGTCATTTAGATCTCCATTGTTATCAATAAGAAGAAAAAAAAATGCAAATCAATGCTACCCATGTTGATACTGCGTTGAGAGCAGAGAATCCATCTCTTTACTCCCACTGGGGTTAAGATCCTGGTTAGTTCTTTAGACAAAGATGGAAATAGAAACTTGCTTATTAAAAATTGTACTCAGAACCATGCATGTATGGCAGAATCCTCTTCTCTTGTCCTTGTTTAATTATTACAAGCAATTACATACTCTGCAAAAGTCAGTCCACTGCAGAGAGAGGTACTGAATTAAAGTTACATTGTGTTGCCAACTATCTAGGGATAAGAATCCACAGATGTTACAAAGTCACAAGGGAGAGGAATTATCAAAGTATGGAGCTGCAGATAAGCTGGAATTCTGTACTGAGCCCATAGCCAGAGTTAGCCTTTTCCAATCGAAATTACAGGAGAGTTTAAGGACATTATCTTTGGAACTCCAAAAAAAAAAAAAAAAGACTTAATCACCCACACTTCTTTCTGTTGTTGTTTTGGTCTTCCCACAGTTTGCTTTGAAGGTGACTGGAAGCCTTTTGGGGAAACTCTTCACAAAGAAAGGGGTCTGTATTGAATAACAAACTACTAACTAATGATGAAAGAAATGAGGTGTCAAAAGCCTTGACTGACCTTAATGCACGAACCTATTATAAAAACTAAATAACTCTGTGACTCATCCCATTTCAGGCTTTTCCACTGGAGAATCAAAAGCTTTCAGACAACTTTTAAGATTTATTCTGGGCCCTTGGGTTATATAGAATAGAATGTGTCCTTAATAAGAAAACGATTATTTTCTTCATCATGCAAGACTGTGCAAATTAAATCATAATCTGTAAGTCTTACAGTGGTATATTTTATTTTGTTCATTTTTTTTCCTGCTTTGATGTTAACCTTACCCAAAGTGAGTACATATACACTGGGCAGATTTTAATTATAAAAATGTAAGTAAAATGCCTATCAGGTGCTGTATAAATGTTGGTTTCCTTCCCCATGTTAATATTACCATGTTAAGAATTAATTAGATAATTGATGTGCAAATTAACATAATAGCTAAAGGAATTACAAGACATGAACTAATACAAAAGTACAGCTGACAGGTTTAGAATAAATCCCAAACCTTAATGCCTATCATTGGTAGGCTAGTTTGCACAAGAGTATCATAACTTTAATTTACAAAATAAGAGCCTAGAGTATGAGCTCTCTATGCAGCTTAAAAAGATGTTGATATATCTGGAGTGTACGATGCCACTACGCTTAATCATCCATCTTTCTCTACAGGAATCCTTGAACTGTCAAATTCAAAGTGACTTTGATAGCCTTATCTTCTGGATAAACAGCACTCATTCTCCTTTATAAAATAGTGGCAACACTTATAGAATATTTAAATGCACATTATACTTTCATAATACAAACAATGCCAGATACATAAAAGCCCATTGGGCCACTCATGAGTATGGTCAGCAAATGTTATCATGGTCTGGGAAAAGCAAAGAAAACCTCCAGAGCCCTACTCAAAGCCTGGGCCCCACATCTGGGCCCCAACTGGTCAAGAAAGGTGCCAAGTCTAGAGCCTGGAATCCAGACTATCATTTGTAGTCTCACACACCCTGCACAGGTATTACTTTGTCTAGCATCATCTTTCATTTCCACTCATAAGTTGAGATCGGATCCCCAAACAGTTGTCATGTGTCTCAATGTCTTTATGTTGGAGGCTGATGTGGAATCAACCAGGCGTAGTAACATCTTCAGTCCATTACATGTGGAGCTCAAGACTGTACCTTAACATTACACATCAGCCATGTGTAATCCAAGCCCATCAATTTGTCAAAATGTAAGGAAGGTCAGGGGTGGGGGTGGAGTAACAAATAAAAGCAAAAAGCTGGGGGGGGGGGGTTGCAAAGGAGAAAGACACTTAATTTCTTTGCCTTCCATAGCAGATGATTCTCCACACACAAACAAAAACCAAAGTCTCCTGCTTCCAAGTAATGTGAGCAAGATGTCAGTTCTCTAGCTATCTGTTCGTTTCATGCACCTGACAGCTCAGAATGACAGGCCCATAGATCACATTTAATTCTCCCACAGAGAGAACTGAAGTGCTTTGGTCCCTTGGCTTTGCAAACTACAACCCTTCTCCTCTGAGGGAAAGATATAATTAAAACTCCGAAGGAAAAAAAAAAAAAAGAAAAGAAAACAAAAGAAAACGTGCTTCAACTTGAATGACAACCCTTCAAGCGGCCAGGAGTAAGGGCACTTTCGGTGCTTTACACCCAGCTTTGATTTGTTAGGAGGCTCTTGGCTGCATTTTCACATCAGTTCATTAGCTACCAAATTCCAGACACAAATTTGAATAGCAGATTGAGCGTGCACACAGGTGTTATCTATTGCAAGCAAAACTGCCTGCTGCATTTTTTAACACATATAACAAAGAACAGTTAATTCTCCTATCTCTGGTAAGAATGAATTTAATCTCCATAGAATTCCAATTCTCTTGGAAGACAACCAAATATCTCCAACTTTTTCCTTTCTCATTCAGCATGGCACTGTATTGAAAGCTTCACATGGTGAGGTCTAATGAGGAATGAACTACATGGTGATGAGGCTCTCAGTGTATAACGTCACTGATTTCTGACTGAAACCAACATTACTAATTTGAAGCACCAGCTAATTAAAACCACAGCTATGTATTTAGCCTCTTGTTATACCTACTGCAGTTTATAATTATGAGGACCTCTTTATCTACTCAATTAAAGTTCTTATAATTCAGGCAGGTTGTGTTTGAACCTGTGAACCCTGCAGAGGCTGCAGGAAAGCATATGTCTGTCCCCTGACGATTTGATGTATCTTTACACTCCCGGGCTTATTTTCCAAGGGAAAAAGGGCTCCATACTCCACAAAGAAATACTCAAGCCAGAAACTGGAATTAATCATCATGTTATTGGTCTAAACAATCCAAGTTTACTCACAGTGATGAGGACAGGATGAATTGGTTCTATCAGCAGGAAAACCCATCTTCATATTGAGATGTTCAGCCAAAAAGCTCAACTCAAGGACTCACCACTCTTCACAAGTTAGAATGTTTTTCCAATTTTTTTTCTCATAGATAGAATAAAATTTGTCACATTATAATGATACAAAAACCACTGACCACTCAAAACCAAATTTACTCTTAATTAACCAAACACTTTTGGTTTCTCTCTCTACAGCCTACATTTCTGGAATGCCTATTTTGCTGACAATCAAACTAGCTGATAGGAAAAGGACAGAAAGAAGAACTAGTTCTATTTAACTACTCTTAATCATGCTGATGCAAGGCGTGATGGTGAGAAGCTTCTCTCTATCATGGGGTTTTTATATTAGCTGTGATGGTACCCAGCTGTGTGCTTCCCTGGCCTCCAGTAACAGAAAAACTGCTCTCATTTACACAGGACAAAACGAAGGTCCTCCTAAAATGAGGGGAGCTGTCCCAAGCCCTCATCAAGCTAGTGGCAAAGGAAGATTTGAATCTGTGTCTCTTCCATCTTCAAGTTCAAGTTCTTTTCCTATTCTCTTCTCAGACACTCTCCTATCCTTGTCCTTAAACGTGATCTTGTATGCCCGTAACTCTCATTTTGCTCATTCGAAGCCCCAGGTATATTCATGAGACAATAAAACCCAGGGCACATGTAGATTTGCTGAGATCTAGAAAGTTCAATTATGCCATCTTCATTAGCTCACAGTGGTAGCCCACTCAGGCTGACAATGCAGTCTAGTCTTTTAGAACAGAGACTGTTAAAGCAGGTAGTTTTGGCAATCATCTATTTGTGGTGCCCTCATTTAACAAATGAGGAAATTGAACTAAAAAAGGTAATGGTGTGTGGCAGGTGTGTGGCAGAGCCAGGAGGATGGAACCCAGACATTCCTGTCCCCAAATCAGCTTTCTTCCCAATATCCATGGTTTGTCCCTTCTGTCTCCATCACACTCCAGAATAAATATGAGTCTTATTTGCACTCCATTGGTCAGCTTTCCTTAGGACTGCATTTTATTAGAAATTGCCAGTAGGGAAAAACTTTAGGAATTTAATTTGGATTTGAACACAGAAAATCCGTAAGTTTCTTTATATCAAAATGTACAGACCCTAAAAGGATTGTAAAAATTAACTTCATCTGTGGGGAAGAGGCTGGGGGAGGGAGAGTAAAAACCAGCTAAAGTCCATGTGGTTTGTATATTTCATGAAGCTTAATAATCATTGTTTATCTCATTTGTTTATTCTACAAAGCTATTGGGGGAAATATTTTTAAAAACCTGATATTTCAAAATGACTATTTTGTTTAAAAATAGTACTAACCAATACAGGATTTACTGTAGTAACAATGTAGATGAAAGTAAATAGTTTAGTCTCACTTGTTTTCTAGTCCAACTACACTAAGCACCTATATCTTGGCTAATATCTTTATAAAAACATCAAAAAGGCATATTTAATTCACCCAAGGGACAAACATAAGCTATAACTCACTCCTTGTGGTTCCCCAGAGTGAATTTCTGCCTTCTATAAAATTCATAGATATTTATCATTATTACATGTTACAGATTTCTAAGTAGTACTTTTTCAATATCTAGTCCTATTTTGAATTTGACACTGATCTAATCTTCACATAGCTTCTATTTGTTAAAAAAGAAAAAAAAATCTCTGCTGTCCAATAGGTTTAAAATCAAGCCCAATTTATGAACTTATTTTATCTGCTAATATCCATATGCACCTAAATATAAAGTACTAAATTCAAAACTATAAAAAGAGCTAAAAATAGGCCGTAATTATTTCATAGATATAGGGAACAAACATGAGATCCTTAGATTTGGAGGTATGAAACATGGAATAAGAGGCAATCTGGCCTTGAAAAGAAATTTCCAAAATCAGTAGAACCTCCTAAATCATATTTGGACAGTGGAACTCATTGAGAACTCTGCATACAACTATTCTCCTCAGCAAATGGACTCTCTCTCCACAAACACTGGCTCTCATGAAAAATAACCAAGATGGCAATGAAAAGGAGAGAAAACACACATGATATTTACTCTAGACATCT